GGGCATGGCTTCTGCTCGGCCAATCAGATGTTTCGAGGGCGGGCTTATAAACCGCTGTTGGGCGCCTGCGTTTTGCTGCTAGACTTCCTCGGCGGCTGGAGGCTCTACAACGATGGTTCTCAACCTGGGCAGTTTTGAGACAGGATGGATGGACTTCAATTGCCAGAACTCCCTGGCCCGCAAGGGAGGACTCCAACCCCCAGAATTCCCCACCAACGTGGGTAGTTTCAATTCCCCAAATTCCCCAGCCGGTGTGGGAAACTACAACTCCCAGAATCACCCAGCCAGCATGGGTGAACTTCCAACTCAACTCCCACAATCACCCAGCCAGTATGGTAAACTACAACTCCCAGAATCACCCAGCCAGTAAACTAAACTACAACTCCCAGAATCACCCAGCCAGTATGGTAAACTGCAACTCCCACAATCACCTAGCCAGTAAGATAAACTACAACTCCCAGGATCACCCAGCCAGTGAGGTAAACTACAACTCCCAGAATCATCCAGCCAGTAAACTAAACTACAACTCCCAGAATCACCCAGCCAGTATGGTAAACTGCAACTCCCACAATCACCTAACCAGTAAGATAAACTACAATTCCCAGAATCACCCAGCCAGTGAGGTAAACTGCAACTCCCAGAATCCCCCAGCCAGTAAGTAAACTACAACTCCCAGAATCACCCAGTCAGTATGGTAAACTGTAATTCCCATAATCACTTAGCCAGTAAGATAAACTACAACTCCCAGAATCACCCAGCCAGTGAGGTAAACTACAACTCCCAGAATCCCCCAGCCAGTAAGTAAACTACAACTCCCAGAATCACCCAGCCAGTATGGTAAACCACAACTCCCACAATCACCCAGCCAGTATGGTAAACCACAACTCCAGAATCACCCAGCCAGTAAGGTAAACTACAACTCCCACAATCACCCAGCCAGTAGGGTAAACTACAACTCCCAGAATCCCCCAGCCAGCCCGGTAGATTCCAACTATGTTAGCTGGAAATTCTGGGAATTGAAGTCCAGCCCTCTTCGAATGGCCAAGATTGAGAAACAAACCATGTTGGGTGACCACGATTGACCGGATCCAGGTGCCACAGCACCCCTCCCTCCGAAAAAAGGAAACCAGCTTCCCATTTCCTTTTTCCAGAAGTGGGAAGCCAGGATCCCAAACACTCCCCCCCCTTTGTGCTTTGTCATGCCCCCCCAGAATGTTTGCCAGACCCCCGAGGGATGAGCTGGGAAGAGTACGTGAAGACCGCCATCCCGCTAGGCGCCCTGGTGATGCTATGTTTCCTGCAAGTCTACGTTTTCCGCATCCGGAGAGTCATCGCCGCCTTCTATTTCCCCAAGGTGTGTGTGGGGGGTTAATTGATTTGTGTCGCCCTCCATCCCCCCCCCCATGTTTGCCCCTTGATCAGTGCAAAGCCCCCCCCCCGCCTCACAAAAGGGGAAGGGGGCGCCTGGAGCAGACATGCCGAAATTATGGGGCGCTGGGTGCAAAATATTGGTGGCGAGAATTGAGGCTTGCAAAATTGCATCCATTTTGAGTCTTAAGTTTTAAGAGGGGTGGAGTTCAACTCCCATAATCCCCCATTCACCATGGGTGCACTACAATTCCCAGAATCCCCATGCCAACGTGGGTGGATTTCAACTCCCAGATTTCCCCCACCCAGCTTGAGTGGACTATAACTCCCAAAATCTCCATGCAAGCAGGATTGGAACGACAAGTTCAGAATCGCCCAGCTCGCTTGGTGGAACTGCAGCTCCCAAAACACCCAGTCAGCCTGGAAGTCCTAGAATTCCCCCAGGCTACCATGGATGGATTACAACTCCAGAATTCCCCAGCCAGCACAGGTGGACTAGAACTCCCCAAATCCCCCCACCCAGCATGGATGAACTAGAATTCCCAGAATCTCCCAGCCAACATTGGTACTAGAGATTTCAACTCCCAGAATCCCCCAGCCAAAACAGGTGGACTAGAACTCCCAGAATCCCCCAGTCAGCAAGGGTGGACTATAATTCCCCAAATCCACCAGCTCTCATGGATGAACTAGAACTCCCAGAATCTCCCAGCCAACATTGGTACTAGAGATTTCAATTCCCAGAATCCCCCAGCCGGCACAGGTGGACTAGAACTCCCAGAATCCCCCAGTCAGCAAGGGTGAACTACAATTCCCGAAATCCCCCAGCTCTCATGGATGAACTAGAACTCCCAGAATCCCCCAGCCAACATTGGTACTAGAGATTTCAATTCCCAGAAGCCCCCAGCCAAAACAGGTGGACTAGAACTCCTAGAATCTCCCAGCCAAAACAGGTGGACTAGAACTCCCAGAATCCCCCAGTCCGCAGGGGTGGACTAGAACTCCCAGTGTATTTCTCTCTTTTCTGACAGCGCGAGAAGAAGCGAATTATCTACCTCTACAACGAAATGTTGCGTCAGCGCCTGGCTTTCGTGATCGTGCAACGCAAACGCATCATTTTGCGAGCTCGGAGGCGCAAGAGAGTGGTGAGTAAACCTCTAGTGCGCCGGACCCTGCAAGGTAGGCCAGGTTGAGGAGACTCACACGAGGAAAAAAAATATCCATTTTTTTTTTAAAAAGTGGTTCACTCCACAATTCCATCAAAGAAGGTCGTAAAATGGGGCAGGATTCATTTAACAACGATCTCCCTCAGCCACAGAAAGTTTGAGCTCAACTGCGGTTGTAAGTCGAGGACTACTGAGTAGGTGGTCCTCAAACTTACGACAATTCATTTAGCGACCGTTCGAAGTCACAACCAGACTGAAAAAAGTGAGTTAGGGCCGTCCTCCACACTTAACGACCATCCCCGCACTCACATAACCCAAATTCAGACCCTTGGCCCCTGACTCGTATTTATGACGGTCGCAGCGCCCTGACGAGGGACGCCTGGAATCACTTAACAACCGCGGGACTTGACTTTTTAACCACTGCCGTGATTCACTTCAACGGCGGGGGACAAGAAAACGGAACGAAACTTGACGAAGGAAATTGGGGGGGGGGGAATCCCTTGTGGTCGTAAGTCGAGGACTTCCTGTCCTGTGGCTTAACAGCCCCGATGGGCGCTGAGCCAGACCTGTTGACCTTCCGCCCAGCTATTTCCGGATGAATTTTTGCTTCTGGAAATATTTTTGGCACGTGGAACTCGGCTTCCAGCAAGGAGCGGCATTCGAACCCCCGCCCCGCCCTATTCGCTGGCAGGCGGGGGGGGGGGGTTCCCCCTTCCTTTCTCCCCAGCCCCAGGACGGATGGGTGTCTCCCTGCTTCAGTCCCCGCAGGGTTGGTTTTCGTGCCCACCCAAGCCGTTTCGCATCTATGCCCAAATCATGCGGTTGTGACTTCGAACAGTCACTAAACGAATTGTCGTAAGTTTGAGGACTACCTACTCGGCATCCCCCGTTACTGATTCTCCAAGCCAGCCCAGTCCTTGGGTCACTTTCCGGGCAACCTGACTCATATTTACGACGGTGGCAGTGTCACCGTGGGGGGGTGTCACGTGATTCCCCTTTTGCGACCGTCTGACAAGGGAACTCAATGGGGAAGCTGGATTCCCTGAACTGCCATGATTCACTTAACAACCGCCGCAAGGAAGGGGGTGAAAATGTGCCCAAACTCCCTTGAGACCCGTCTCGCTTAACAACAGGCGCCATTGCGGTCATAAAGTCGAGCAAACCCCTGTTTTTACAAAACGAAAATCCTGAAATTGGAGTTTTGACGCCTTAAACTAGGAGTCGGCAACCTTAAGCCGCAAACCGGAATACACACCCACACCGTTCCCCCGCCATAGAGTCTCGTCCTAGCACGGCGTCCTTTTTCCACTGCTGACCAGAAGTCCGGTTCCCCCACCATAGAGTCTCCTCCTAGCACGGCGTCCTTTTTTCCTCTACCTGTCCTACCCGAAAGCCCTATCAACTGTGGAACCGATCGGCAACAGGGAGCCGCAGCAGAGGAATGAGAGAGCCACATGCGGCTCCAGAGCTGCAGGTTGCCAACCTCTGTCTTAAACAAATCACAGCTATTTTATTTTGCAAAGAAGGGCCGATTTGCTTCCCGGAGGCCTACGATATGAAATATTTATTTATGTTTTTGGCGGAAAAATTATGGGGGGGATGTCAACACCCCACCCCCCACCCCCCCACCCCCATTTGCCTCCTTTTCAGAGAAAGCCGCTGCTGAACCAGATCGGACACTGGTGTCCGTTCCTGAAACGCTTCCTGATTCGCCGCTGCATTCTTTGCAACCGGCCCGAATCCCGCCGTTCGTTGACGTGTTCGAACCCCGACTGCGAGACCGTTTACTGCCGCATTTGCTGGAAGGACCTCGGGCAAACTTGTTTCGCCTGCAATCCGGACGACCTGGTTTCGGACGACGAGAGCAGCGACGGGGAAATGGGCTACGCCGATTAAATGGGGGGCATTTTCCCTGCCTTTGGGTGTTAAATGGTTTTTCTTTTTAAAAGGTTTTGGGTCCCCGTTTAGGGTCTGCATCGGATAGCGACTGCTTTTACCCTGTTTTCCCCCAAAATAAGACATCCCCGGATAATGAGGAGCCCTCCAGGGGGCTGGACTAGATGACCTCCAAGGTCCCTTCCATCTCTGTTATTATTCTATTATTATTCTGCCTGAGCAGGGGGTTGGACTAGAAGACCTCCAAGGTCCCTTCCATCTCTGTTATTATTCTATTATTATTCTGCCTGAGCAGGGGGCTGGACTAGAAGACCTCCAAGGTCCCTTCCATCTCTGTTATTATTCTATTATTATTCTGCCTGAGCAGGGGGCTGGACTAGAAGACCTCCAAGGTCCCTTCCATCTCTGTTATTATTCTATTATTATTCTGCC